GTGGAGCGATTCTCCCAGGGAGGAACTCAACCCAGAGAGCTTCCGCGGTAAGGATGATCAAGAGTGTTAAATTTCTGACTTCCACACCTTTCCTCTTCCCAAGAACAACTTTGAAGACCAAATATCAAAGGTGGTTGACTCACTTCTACTGTCACTCCAGGAATTGGCCAAGTGAAACCACTTCCTAAAGCGTAGTATAGCGGGTTTGGGTTTAATTATCAACCCGGGTCCTAGATTTGATGACTACTCAGTGAATTCTTGTTATCTAGCAATGAAACTTTAATGCAAGTCTAAACTAACAAACTAACAAAGCAGGTAAACGGTTGTATTCAGGTTAAGAGAGGTCACCCGGATATGGTTCCCCCTAGACTGCAGTTAAGCCGGATTGTAATTATCAAGTTCAGTTTCTATGATAGTTATACTGCGGAAGGTTCTTAACCAGCCTGAAGTCTCGACTAAAGGTCTTCAGACCCTCTCAATCTGAGTCTCTAGCGGGCGACTAACCTCCACCGGAGTAAACAGATTGAGGCCTTAACAAACAAAACCTCCACTACCGGAGTAAATCCGGTACAGAATAGTGAGTTGGCTTCTCGACTAAAGTCACCAACTCCCTACCTTCAATCAAGGATGCTCTATCAACCTAGGCAGATATTCTCATTCTAGGTTAAAGCAGAAACAACAGGAATTTGATCAGGATTCAAGTCATTCAATCATTCAAACCTCAATTGAACATAATCAAATCATAGATTCAGTACTTGGGTTCATACAATCAAAGCCTAACATACAAATCTAGGGTTCTCCATACTCAGATGAATGGGAGAACTACTCCATGGAGAAAGAAACAAAAGCAGAATCAGACGCGGAATTCATACTGTGAAGGATGGATTCCTGCTCCTGGACGTTGATCGGCACCTCTCCAAGCTCAAACTGGCCTCCAATGGTGATGAAGATCAAGCTAGGACACTTGGAGACTCTTGTTTGTCGCTTTCTCTCTCTAGGAATCGTTCTCTCTCTCAAAAACTCGAATCCCCTTCTGTTTGGCTGAAAATCTGCTTAAAAGGGCATCAGTGGCCAAAGCACGGTCGAGGGCACGGCCGTGTAATGCCTCAGCCCGCCCGTGCTTTGGCTAGTGTTAATTACACTAGGAGAAACACGGCCGTGCTTTTGGGAGGACACGGCCGTGCTTTGGTGAAGCACGCCCGTGTTCTATCTCAACCCTGCCCGTGTTTTGGCCAATGTTTGCCAAACTCGAATTAGCTCTCGGCAGTAAAAGCACGGTCTCATAACACGGCCGTGTTCTGGTTTAGGTGTGCCCGTGTTTTGGCTCAGTTTCACCGAAATGACTTCCGAATGCCCCGAAACTCGTGCTTAGCCTTCCCTTTTACACCTGGGACCTGAAACATGACAAAATAGCACAACCCGGCATAAAATAGGCCAAAAACACACGACTATGCCCCTCAAACGGATAAGAACTAGGGGCGCAAATATGTGCAATTACATCGTTATCAGTGGTGGAGCAAGATGACCTTATCGAAGACATTTCTTAGAAACTTGCTATACGATATATTCTTGAAGAAAAGCAAGAAAGTTTGAGAAAAGGGGTTGCGGAGGAAGAACTGCGTCAAAGAAGAGGGAGATCTTGATTGTTCCTGATGACTTGATATATACACATGTTTTTGTCCACCATTCTTACCCCGTTTGAGTCTTGTTTTCTCGTGTTTTAGGCCGATTTCACGCTAGGTTGTTATTGTTTGTGATATTTCAGGTCCTAGTACGTGAATGAAGGTTTGGGAACGAGTTCTGGGTCAATTGGACGAAGATTGGACGGTTGGCGAGAAGCTGGGAAAGCCACACGGGCACGCCTAAAATCCCACACGGCCGTGTGACTTGGCCGTGTGGCACCATTTTGCATGGGCAAGCCACATTGGCCGTGTAGGGGACCCCTTGTGGCCGTGTGGAAAGTCCAGGGAGCTAACACGGGTAGCCTGGAAATCCACACGGCCGTGTGTCCCTGGCCGTGCAGCATGCTTGGAAGTCACTTAATCGAAACGCGGTGTTTTGATTGCCACACGGGCAACTGGAATTTACACACGGTCGTGTGGCCTGGCCGTGTGGTCGGGAATTTCTGGGTTTTAACCCAATTTCGAGCCAATGGAGAGGGAATCGACTTTTTGGAGCAAAAAACAGAGTTTTAGAGAGAGAAAGTGCGAAGAACAAACCCTAGGAGCTATTTGGAGTGGATTTCTTACCATTGAAGCCCGGATTGCATCCCCAGGAGTGAAGATTGACATCCCAGAGCAGATTCTTCCCATTGTTATGAGTATGACTGCTTTGTATTCTGTTTCCCTCTCTCTCTATGGAGTAGAACTTTCTCTCACTTGGGTATGAAGAACCCTAGTTCCATGTGTTAGGGGTCTTGATTGTAATGACTTAGGATTGTTATACTGTTTGATTTTAATCGATTGATGCATGATTCATTGAGTAAATTGAAGTCTGATCATCTTTTCTTGATTTCTGTTGCAACATGAGATAGATAGAATCTGATTAGGTTGTTAGAGCTTCATCAATCGGTAGTGGTAGATTGGTTATACGAGAGTTAATCAATTTACTGCTTTGTACTGGAACCCAATTCCAGTAGTGGAGTTCTGTGCTTATTGCCTTAACAGTCTATCCCGGTGAAGGTTAGTCGCCTGCCGGTTAGCCTGCCTAAGAGTGATTGGTCAGCTTAAGAGATTCCAAGCTACTGTCTGATCTTCCGCAGTTTAATCAACAGTTAATCAACACAGGGTAATTACAACTGAGACCTAACTAAGGAGCTAGGGGGGCTCATTCCCGAGTGACTCTTCATTTGCTTTAGAAAACCGAACCATTTCCTTCTTTCTTACTGCTTTTACTTAAATCAATAATCACTTAACTTAGTTTTCTAGATGACATATATACACGAAGTAGGCAGTAGATCCCGGGTTGACAATTAGAGCTTGCCTGTTACTGCATTTCCGGACTGCGATTACACTTGGTCGCAGTTTGGTGTTGTGTTTTAGCGTGTCAAATCTCAAGTGGAGGAAATAATTTTGCAAGAAGTAATGGAGGTTGAGGATGCAAATGGTTTCAAAGATGAGGACGATGTCATAGTGGATGAAGCTTCTACAAGTAACAAGTGCAACCAAAGCTTTCAACCCGACCTTGATGCACTTTTAGAGAAGGACCCTTTTGCTATTTCTCTTTGCCAAGCCAAGACAAAACCATAATCAATCCCTCTTAGTGAATCCGATGGTGGTCAATCAAGGTTTTAATACGTGGTATGGGGAAAAGAGAATAAGGAAAGAAGGAAAGAAGAAGAGGTCTTGTGGGTGGAGCTTCATCTTACCAAGTCCACGAGTCATTACCATCACTTTCACGCCACATGCTTGTGATGTGAGACACCACCTCACCGACTAGAAACTCAAATTCTTGGAGGTTTTGGGATGGACCAAAACTTGAGCATCATCATCCGGCTCATGACGTGAAAGAAATGCTTGTTGGTAGGAAACCTAACCACTTCGGTTTGCGCTTTCTTTCACTAAGATTTGGTTTTCAAGTCAATAATTTGACCTTTGGGAACTTGAGGTGTTTTGGATGTTGGCTTGCTCTTTTGGATCTCACCCTTTCTCCTAGTCCCTCCACCATCATTTACACTTTATCCGATAACTTCATTCTACCCTCCTTATCTTTCCTCCATTGGGGAGAATGCCATGCCTAAGTGCGGGGAGGGTGTTCCATGATATGTGTCAATGAGTGGTGTGATTAAGATATTTTTCCTTTTCCATAAATTCTTTGGAGCTTAGTTGAATGCCCAAAATTTAAAAAAATTGAGGGCTCTAAGCAAAGCAACTTCTCCATTTGCATGATCATAGTGACACTTTTGGTGTTTTTTTTGAATCTCGAGGCTATTAACATTGATGTATGAACAACTTGCTCGTGATTGATAGAAACCTATTATGATGATTGAGATATACAATAGAATTGTGTAGGGGTTCAATTTTCATCTATTTGCATACCAACTTGTGACTTGGATTAGCTACTCGCTACTTACAATTGTCTATACATCGAGGTTAAGGAATCATAATGAGGGATAGAGCATTTAGGTATCTATGTGAGACCTACTCATTTCTGTCTTGTGTGAAAGATCTCTCTTACCATGATGTGTATCATTCACGTTTCCACTAATGAGGAAGATGGATGCATAAGATTAGACCACGACCATATTTACTGCCCCGATGTGTCATGCCTTTTAGTCAACCCCCTTGAGTTGTGTTTCTTTCTTTGTGTATATATTGATGTAGAATTACCATTGTATCTTGATGCTCACATTACTTGAACTTACTAGAGGTTCCATATAGTGATTTTTGCATGGTTTCTACTCATGTGAAAGTGAGCGATGGACTAAATTCTTAAAATTGAGTATGTGTTCATAAAGTTTCTAGAATGGGGCATGTGTTTTAGGTCTCAACAAGTAAAACCAAAGAAAAATAAAATAAAAGAATAAAGTGAACAAAGAAGGAACGAGAGCTGCCACCAAAGTTGATTGTGCTCCAAATTAGTGTTTTTTAGAAGGATGGCTTAGAGACACTAGCATGTTAGTTAACTCCTTCACACTTTTCCTTAAAAGTTTTAGAAGCAACAGTGGTAGAGAAAGATTGTTTTGTATGGTTGTTGTGAGTGGTTTTGGTATGGAATTGTGGAACCTTGTGCTATATATGCCTCCACCACCTAAATAACATGTTCCCCTTGTCTTAGAACCCAGAAAGCTATAACCCAACCACGTCCTCTAGATCATTAGTAGTGACACTCATTCTGTGAACTCTTGCCTTTAGAGGCTTCCGTCATGGTGAAGAGATGATAGGGCTGAGAGTATAAGTATGCACATCTTTTGCATCAAAATTGTGCTGACCCCACTGGTCTAGAGTGAGCGATTCTTTTTCCACATTATAAATCTCCGTGAGGACCTAGATTGTTCGGTCACTGTTTTTGATGACTTGATCTTTACGCATGGGGTGGGAAGACTCTTCCTTTCCATGACTTTGTTGTATTCGAATGTCATATGTGGTGGTTGTCCGGGTTGTTGTTGTAGTTTCATATACCGGTGCCAAATAGCCATTTTGATTCACGTGTTTTGTGCCTCTATGACATGCCCCCATAGTTTTCAAGAAAGAGGTTGCAAGCTTATCTGGTGTCTTACTTGGTTTGCTTGAGAACAAACAAACAGTTAAGTATAGGGAAGTTTGATTCGGGTGTTTTACCTCTTCATATATTTATTTTTTGGGCTAATTCCACTAGAAAGACCAAACTATCGTAAAAGTTTCGTTTGTAACCTAAACTATTCAATCTGACAAATCTGACACAAACTATATGCGTGTCGTGACATTTTGGGCTAATACTAACGATCAATGCCGATCAACATTAACAAAAAAATAATCCGTGCCAGATTTGTCATATTGAATAGTTTAGGACACAAATGACACCTTTTTGAATAGTTTGGGCTTTCTAGTGGAATTAACCCTTATTTTTTGACTTGGTAATCGTTGTTCCTTGACCCATTTTAGGCTAGGTTGTGCTTCTTTTGTCATAAATAAGGTCCCAGTACGTGTGGAAATCTCGAGGACGAGTTTTAGGATATTCAAAGGTCAAAACGAGCCAAAAAGTGAAGGATGTGCAAGGTTCATGGGTTGGGTGCAATGTTCACCGTTTTGGGAGGGGGGGGGGGTGAAAATCACCCCAAAACCGTGAAACAAACACATTTCCAGTAGCACATCTCCTTCTCGCGGGCATGGTTACACGCCCTTGAGGCGGGAAAATAACAACAAAACCATAAAGTATGCACAAAACATTACGTTGAAGCTGAGATCCTGTTTTACACTATTCACGACCATGAAGTACACACCAAAATTGTTATCTTTGCATTGGTAAGAGTGTAAATTAACAACAACAGGTTTTGAGCAAGGGCAGTTGGGTTTTTTACGTACCCCAAAACATCCAAGGGGCGATTCTAGAGAGAGAGAGAGAGAGAGAGAGAGAGAGAGACCTATGAGGGTTTTTGGAGCTATTTTGGAGGTGCAAATCACCATTGAAACTTGAAAAACATCCCCTAGAAGATGAAGATTGAAGATTCTAAGCTCATACTGCATTCTCTCTCTTCTTCTCTATGAATTAGCTTTCTTTCGCATAGGTAGATGAACCCTAGTTATTAATTTTGGTTTGAATGTTGATGTATGTGACAAATCCTATGATGTTTATGATGAAGTGCATTAGTCTTGATCCCACTGCATGTCAATTGAGCTTTTAATGTTGGAGAGAGAATATATCTCTAGGTTGAATAGTCTAAGCTGTCGAGAAGTAGAGATGGTATATAAGAAAGTGGCCCCCTACCTGAACCCATTGATATCCCTATCTAGAAGGAGCATTCATCCAAACACATAAGAAGCAATCGCAACAAGAGATTGGACATGCAACATTCCACACTACTAGATCTTTCAGTCCAATTCCACGCTCCAGCTTGTAAAGAGTAACTAGACACCAAGAGATCTTAACACAACCAAAATTACGTCATGTTAAACAAAATCCAATCATACCTTCTGAACCTAAGAAATTATCTTCTTTGGTAGAACAAAAAGGTTAATCCAATATTAAAGTATCAGATAAAACATATAAGAAATCAACTCAATCCATCCAACATATGGGACTAGAAAATGTTGAAAAAGGAAATAAAACATGTCAGCTACTTATTTCTTCCTTGCACCATGATTTGAGGGGTAAGCTGGAACAGTGGGCTCACACCCACTTTACCCACCCTTGGAACTATTCAAAAAATAATCAAAGAGATGTAAATTGCTCGAAAATGCCACTCACACCCCAAAATAAGCACCCCTCCATTTTCATCTCTTCCCCAATAGAGGCTAAACATTTACGGACTTTTTCCAGAAATACCACTATTTAAAAAAAGCATTCAAAAAATACCACCCAACCCCAAAAAATTCCAAAAATACCACCTTTTTCAAAAACAGCCACCCCACCATGCGGTTTACACGAAAACCGCTGGGCGGGGGCGCGATTTTCTTTGCAAACCGCCAACTAATTCCTGTATAGTCATTCTCAAGGTCCCGTATATCCAAAACTAATTCCTGTTTTGAAAATTCCATCCTAGTAAAAGTTGTAGATGTTGAAAAGTTATGCGAAATGAAAAAAAAAATCACTACGATCGGATACCCGAGTGCAAAGTTACGTTCGTTTGAAGTTTCGGCCGAAGTTAGGAGTTGATCGGAAAAAAAAAAATTGGACCAAACCGCTGAGTGGGGTGGCGGTTTTGGGCCAAACCACCACCCCACCCAGCGGTTTGGTCCAAAAAAAATTTTAACCGCCCCTTAGCCCCGCGATTTGCATAGAAAACCGCGCCCCCACCCAGCGATTTTCGTGTAAACCGCAGGCTGGGTGGCGGTTTTTGAAAAAGGGTGGTATTTTTGGAATTTTTTTGGGGTTGGATGGTATTTTTGTAATTCTTTTTTTAAACAGTGGTACATTTGGATTTTTTCCAACATTTACCTACATCTAAAGATAATCCAAGGTACTTGAGTGACAAAATCCTATCCTGAAACTTAGCAATGTGTTAAGCTAAATCATGAGCTTTTCTTAAAGTCTCCAAAAATAGTACACACTTTTTGATTGTTGTCTAAATTTTAAATGTCATAATAATTAATTATATCAGAAGGATACTTTTTGAAATAAAAATCAAAAGAATATTTAAATGTCATAATGACACATCAAAAGTAGTGTGAAAAAAATGTCATAATACCTATAACTGATTTTCTTTTGAATTTAAATGTCATTATAATAAATGATTATTAATATAATGTGTTTTAAGTTTAAATATTATAATAATAAATTATTATCCAAATATTATTGTTCAAAAAGTAAATGTCATAATAACTTCACAAAAGTTTTATGATAATAAATTATTAGGAAAGGTTATTATTAAAATGAAATGTCATAATAGTACATGATTATCAAAGTTTATTGTTTAAAATGGAATAGTGATGATAAAAAGTTAAAATTTATAATGATAATAATAATTATTATTAATTAATTACCAAAGTTATGCAACAAAAAGTTCAATATTATTTTATTTTTAATAGGAAATGTAAATCAATGCAACAACATAGTGTCGGTCGGCGCTCTCTCTCCCCAATCTCAGACTCCTGCCTTGCTCCCTCTATCACGTGCAAAGTTGTCAAGTAGGTCATTACTTACAAGATCCAGACCCACCCACCCCATCCGCAATTCACACCCTCTGCTATATTTTCTTAACTCACCACTCGACTATATTTTCCTCTCCATTAATCCCAATCTCTCTTTCTTTTCCCCCCCAATTCTCTGACGCGATTCATCGAACACTTAGACCGTGTCCCCAATTCTTCCTTCCTCCTCCAACACCACACTGTTGGCACCCTAGGGTCACTCTAGTTGAGAACCCTTCATTGGGAACTTAGGTTTCTCTTACCTTACCTACCACCCAAACACACAGACCAGACGACTCTGATTCAGCAATTTGACATTTGTGGATTTCCTTCAGCATTAGAGAACAACAAACGGTTATCCCGACGGATTCCTCCAATATCACTTACATATTATGACCAAATTTTCTACCTCGTCCAGAAACAAGCCGTCTCCTACGACCAACGATGGCTGTCTGTACATGGGCGGTGTTGTATTCGCTTTCTTACTCGTCTGGTGTCTCTGGTCCTACGCCGACCCGATCATTTTTGGCAGCAACAATTTCATGCCTAGGATTGTCAGCGACATGGGATCGGACCGCTGCACGCACCCGACTCCGAACCTTAGATTCGACCCGCCCGACTCAACGTTCTACGACGACTCGAAGCTCCGGTACTCGATCGAGAAGAAGGTAACAGGGTGGGACGATAAGCGAAAAGAGTGGCTAAAGCACCATCCGACATTCGCCGCCGGGGCTAAGGACAGGGTCGTGATGGTGACTGGTTCCCAGCCAAACCCGTGCCAGAACCCAATTGGCGACCACCTCTTGCTCCGGGCATTCAAGAATAAGGTGGATTACTGTCGTATCCATGGCTACGACGTCTTCTACAACAACGTCCTCCTACACCCGCGGATGAAGAGCTACTGGGCAAAGCTGCCCGTGGTGAAGGCGACGATGCTGGCTCACCCGGAGGCCGAGTGGATCTGGTGGGTTGACTCGGACGCGATTATCACCGACATGGAATACAAGCTCCCGCTGGACAGTTACAATTACAAGGGTCATAACCTAGTGGTCCATGGGTGGCCCAAGTTAATCTACGAGGAGAAATCTTGGACGTCGTTAAACGCAGGCGTTTTCCTCATTAGGAACTGTCAGTGGTCCATGGACTTCATCGATGTTTGGGCCAACATGGGCCCGATCAGCCCAGACTACAAAAAATGGGGGGAGATCCAACGATCGGTGTTCAAGGACAAGCTATTCCCGGAGTCGGATGATCAAACGGCCCTGATTTACTTGATCTACAAGGATAGGAGATTGACAGACAAGATTTATCTGGAAGGGGAGTATTACTTCGAAGGTTACTGGGTAGAGATCGTGCCAACGTACGACAACATAACGAAGAAGTATACCGGGATCGAGCAGGAGGATAGTTTGTTGCGACGACGACACGCGGAGAAGGTGAGTGAGCAGTACGCAGCGTTTAGGGAGCCGCACTTGAAGGAGGCCGGGAATGGGCGATGGAGCTGGCGGCGGCCGTTCATAACGCATTTCACAGGGTGTCAGCCGTGTAGTGGGAACCACAACCAGATCTACACCGAGGAGAGTTGCTGGAATGGGATGGTGAAGGCCCTGAACTTTGCAGACAATCAGGTGTTGTGGAAGTATGGGTTCGTGCACCCGGATCTACTGGATTCTAAGACGGTGACGGAGACTCTGTTTGATTACCCCGACGAAGGACCCTGGTGATTAAAAAAAGGAAAAGAAAAGTATAGAGTTAGAATGCAGGAACAGAAAGTTAAGGTTGCTGGATAGTAATTATATGCTTTGGGGGGTTTCAGGCAATAATAAAAAACATATAATTTTCCGTTGTTTGTTTGTGTTTTCCTTTTTGAGAAGAAGTGGCTAAAATCTAGGGATAGTGGTAGGGATGGAAATTTTGATCGTTTTACCCGACCTGTTTGGACTATTTTTGGGGTAGGTAGTCAAGGTCTTCCTTTTAGCGATTCAAGAGACCTCAAGCTCTCATTTGAAGCCAGCATGTGTGGCAACTCAATGTGGAGTGCAGGCTGGGAAGTGGTGCTCAGGCTAAGACGAATCCGCCCATCAACTTCCCCACATGTGACCTTGATAGGGAAAGCAATGATCCATCTGCTCTTGGTCCTGAGGGAGAGATGCTTGTTTGCAAAAGATTAGTGCAATGCACGACAAATTTGAAAAAGGAGACCCATAAATGACAACTCTTACATTGAAAGAAAGATAAAAGCACCCTAAAGAGTTCTTTAATTGTTGTTGAGAAGTCCCCCAGTGCACACCTTGAATGTTCATCCCGAGGTAGTAGGTATGATCCTCATCATAGAGTTTCTGTGTACACAGTAAGATAATAGTAACGTTTACTCGTCTTCGTTTACTCTTCTTTATGAAATGAATAACTAGAGTGCACTCCCCGTTGATTTGTCTATCAAGTTGTATTGGTTTGAGTAGGTTTGCTTGGGGACAAGCAAACTCTTAAGTGTGTGGGAGTTTGATAACACCTAAAATAAGCATTATTTAGCCCTTATTCTTAAGGCATTTGCATGTTAAATCATCGTGTCTAGGCCACATATCAACTTATTTATGCCCATATTCGTTCCTATTTGCAAAACATGCATTTTGGCATAGGTATTCATAATATGAAGGTTTTCATAGGGGAACCAACCCTAATTTTTCGTATTTTATGCTTTCCCAAGTGTTTGTGATGAAATTTCAGGCCTTATATGCATTCGGGATTGATCGGGAATCAATTGGGGTTCATCTGAGCATGATTGGGAAGCATAGGAGCAAGAAGGGGAGAAGAGGCATTGGTCACGGTCACACGTCACGACCGTGACCATGTTAGATGCTTGAAGATCGCAGCTGTGAACAGTAGCCCCGAACTTCAGCAGGAGACCAAGAAGAAGGCAGAAAGTTTCCCCAGTTGAATCGCGAACATGGTGCATTTTGACCTCGAAAAAGATTGCGCATGGGACACAAAGATCACGACCACGATCTTATGTAGGAGGCCGCGATCTCGTAGCTCAAAGACGGAGTAAAAACGCTTCGTTTTGGGCGATTCAGAGACGTTCTAGCTAGGGGTGGGCAACGGGACGGGACGGGATACCCGTCCCGTTTTAAACGGGTACCCAGTCCCATTTGGAGGCCAAAGTCCTTCCCATGTCCCAAACCCATATGGGAAACGGGTACCCATTACCCGTACGGGACGGATAACGGGTACCCATAAATACCCAAAGTTTCATTCCCTTGACTGGCTTCATTCCCTTGATTAGCCATGGAAACTATAAACCAAATCAACATAAACCAAATAGACAGATGCTGAAAATTAGAAACATAATTAGTAATTAGCAGAACAAACCTAACTAGTAATTAGAGTCCATAATATGTATTGTAAGTAGAAAAGAAAAGAGAATGCCAGCTGCATACCTAAATAGATAACAAACCTAACTAGTAATTAGAGTCCAGAATCTCGTTGTCAGCCTGTCGCTGAGGCTGGCGCTGCGGCTGTGCTGGGTGGAGGACGCTGTCTCACACTCTCGCTGTCTGACTATCTCGCAGTTAAGTGAAAGCCGAAAGGGAATAGGCAGCCAGGCAGGGTAAGGGTCGACTAAGAGTAAGGGCCGAAATGGCCAAGGCCCAATGCCACATTTATGAATTAGTGAATTGGGTTGGGGTGTTGGGCTGTGGGCTATTTCTGGTAAATGGGTATAACGGGTACCCACATTACCCAAACGGGTATTTGCAGGTAACCCGCGGGTACCCATATTAGAAATGTACAATCCCAAGTCCCATCCGTTTATAATAATACGGGTAATATGGGTACCCGTAACCCTTAAAAAACGGGACGGGTACGGGTATACCCAAATACCCGTTTCCCGTTGCCCACCCCTAGTTCTAGCCGGTCAAGGCCAGGTCACGGCCGTGACCATCGTCTCACGCCCTAGAGGCCTTGACCTCCATCAGCTTTCTATAAATACCCCTCTTGCTGCACTTTTCAAAGGAAAGCCGACCTAGAGTGAGAAATTTAGGACACAAATGACACTTTTTGAATAATTTGGACTTCCTAGTGGAATTAGCCTATACAATTAATCTCAATATATTTGTGATAATATTTTTTATGGTTAATATTTTCGTATGGCCTGAACTTTGACCAAAATAAACATCCTGACCAATTTTTTCGATCTATAACATCCTGGCCCGAACTATACACCAAAATAAACAATTTTGCCAAACCCGATGTTAGACCGTTAACTTGGACGGTCAAACGCGTTGACCGTTAGTCAACGCGCCATGTCACTGCCAAGTCAATATAAAATATTTAAAATAATTCACAATTTCCACACATTCCCTAATTTTAAATTATTATAAATTAAAAAAATCATCTAATACCTTAGTTAAACCAAAAATAAAAAACAAAAGAAATTAAATATTTATCAGATCTTCTGAGTTGGCAGTGACGTGGCGCGTTGACCGTTAGTTAACGGTCAAACATCGGGTTTGGCCAAATTGTTTATTTTGGTGTATAGTTTGGGCCAGGATGTTATAGATCAAAAAGATTGGTCAGGATGTTTATTTTGGTCAAAGTTCAGGCCATACGAAAATATTAACCCTATTTTTTATTTTGTTTCTAAATTGAAGTTGTTGAATACTATTTGTGTTGTGCAATGACACAAGAAAGATTTAATGAATTAGCTATGGTGTGATCTCCTAAAGAATATGTAAATCGAAGCATATAACTTTTTAAGTAATGGTGTTATGGACTTTATTCCTTAATAAATGTTATGAATTTTTATTTAAATAATATAATAATTTTTATTTTACAAATTATAAAAACTCTGTACACAGCTTCTTTACGAAACGGGGCCTTTAGAATTCATCCAACGTTTTAACTCTCGGGCATCCTATCCTATCTGTGGAGCTTCTTCAGCTATAGCACGATAGCCGAAATGGATAAAAATTAAATAATTATGACCAAAACATGACACCAAAATGTTGTCGGTGTCGAGATTCCATTTCACTATAATAGTGACAAGCCCAATCAAGAATCTAAGTAATAGGAACCACCATGCCAGAATATGAGTCTCCATCAATATACGAAGGGTTCTTCAAGATAGCACTTTGACACGCTAAAACACAACACCAAACTGAGACCAAATGCAATCGCAGAATGGATATGCAGAATAGTGACAAGTTCAATTTATCAACCCGGGGTCTAGATCTACTGCCTACTTTGTGACTACCTGTTATCTAGAGGGAGTAAATGTGGTGAGAGTGATTGCAAACAAAAGCAGTAAGAAAGCAGGAAATGGTTCGAAGTTCTTAAGCAAGGGAAGAGTCACTCGGGAATAAATCCCCCTAGCTCCTTAGTTAGGTCAAAGTTGTAATTTCATTTGGTTGATTTACTGTGGATTAAACTGCGGAAGATCTGACAGTAGCTTGGAATCTCTTAAGCTGACCAAGCCCTCTCAGACAGACTACCCGGCAAACGACTAGTCTTCACCGGGATAGAACGCTGAGGCATTAACACACAACTCTACTAGTGGAATTGAATTCTAGTACAAAGCAGTGAATCGACTAACTCTCGTATAATCGATTCACTACTGCCGATTGAAGAAGCTCTAACAACCTAATCAGATTCTATCTATCTCAGGTTGCAGCAGAAATCAAGAAAATTTGATCAGATTTCAATTGACTCAATAAATCATGCATCAATCGATTATAATCAAACAGTATATCAATCCAAAAGTCATTACAATCAATATTCCTAACACATGAAACTAGGGTTCTTCATACCCAAGTGAGAGAGAGTTCTACTCCATAGAGAGAGAGAGATGAAAACAGGATACAAAGCAGTCATACTCATAACAATGGGAAGAATCTGCTATGAGATGATAATCTTCACTCCAAGGATGGAATCCAAGCTTGATTGATGAAACCCAGATCCAAAATCACTCCTAAGGTTTGTTCTTTGCACTTTCTCTCTCTAAGACTCTGTTTCTTGCTTTGTAAAATCGATCTCCCTCTTCAAAGACCCAAAATTGGGTCTAAAACCCAGAATTCCACAACCACACGGCCTTGTGGAATCCCCAGCTGCCCGTGTGAGATCCCAAAATGCGGCGTTTCGGTTTAGTGCCTCTATGTACGCTACACGGCCAGAAACGCACGGTCGTGTAGAAGTATTGCCTGCCCGTGTGAACTCTCTGGGAATTCCACACGGCCAAAAAGGGCCCTTACACGAACAATGTGGCTTTGCTCGCGCAAAGGTGTTCCACACGGCCAAGTCACACGGCCGTGTGGAATTTAGGTCAGTTTGTGTGGTTTCCTCAGCTTTTCGTCAAACGTCCCAACTTCTTTCAATCGACCCCGAACTCGTGCCCAAACCTTCCTTCACGTACTAGGACCTGAAACATCACAATTAAGAACAACCTAGCGTGAAATCGGCCTAAAACACGAGAGATGAGACTCAAACGATATAGGAATGGCGGACAAAAACATGTGTATATATCAAGTCATCACACTTCTATTGTTTTTTAAAGTATTGGTGTTTTGAGTACAAATTGAAGTTGTATCATAACGATAAATATACAATTTTAAGTTGTACCGTAAGAGAATTTGTACTTTTATATTATGGTACAACTTCAAGTTGTACCATCAAATAAGTGTACTACTTCAAGTTGTACCATAAATGAATATGTACAAAAGAGTATAGGTTAATGAACCAAGCCGCTCATGAACGGCTCGGTGTGCAACTCGAGAAAATCTCGTTCGACACTCGATTCGTTTTAATCAAGCCGACTCGCGAACAAGCTCGTTAACCAAACGAGCTGAACTCAAGCCATACCATGTTCAACTCGAAAGCTCGCGAACAAGCTCATTTAATGGTTTGGCATAAAAAAAAAGGATTAGAATTCATGGATTTTATGTATTGAAATTGGAATAAATATTGTGTTTTACTTTGCTAGACTTTGCTACATGGTTTGAATGTAATTTTGTGCGCAATTCTAGGTCAATCTTGAGCTATCATGAACATTTTATGAGCTGAACTCGATTTTGGGCTTGTTAAGCTTATTTGACGAGCCGAGCTCGAGCTTTCATTTTCATAAACGAGCCGAGCTTGAGCTTGCATATTAAAGCTCGTGACGAACACGAGTCGAGCTCGATTCTGGAAATATATTAACGAGCCGAGCCCAAACTATGGCAAAGCTCGGCTCGACTCGGCTCATTAACAACCCTATGTACAACTTGAAGTTGTACTATAAGATTAAAGATACAAATTCACGTTGTACCATAGAAAAAAACTAAGATTAGTTAATTATTAATGTGGTATTTGTAGAGTCATATAACTCATCAATTGTTCATATGGTATTTCAATGTTATTTTAGTGGTAATGGGATTAAAGTATCTCGTTTGATTGAACCATACACATGCGGTATTTGGCATATGGTAATTGGAAAAAGCAGATAGACAAAACGAATCATTTCGAAATAATTATGTGGTCGGAGTTATTTCAAATAATTCATTTGAGTAACTCACTCAAATAACGAGTTATTTGGACCTATATAACTCCTTCAAATACCTCCTCCAAACAACTAATAAAGCAGCAATGCTTTAAAGTTTAAACAATGGTGAAATTTCTCTCTTCAAGATTCCTTCATTATCAGCTAATGCCACAAAGTCAACTACGTATAAAAGAAAGTCAAGGGCTATCAATCAGCTCAAGTTGACTTCTAATGTTTGTCTTATATAATAATAATGTCTATGAATATTTTAATCTGACGAAGAAAAATTAGTTTGCCATGATAGTTATTAATTTGCCTTCCTCATTCAGCGAGAACGAGACTAGTCCACGATCAAAGCATCAATCATATTATTTGACTTCTTTGTCTCTCAATATATATATATATATATATATATATATATATATATATATATATATATATATATATATATATATATATGGCAAAGGCTAGCGTACGCCTGGCGTACGCTATATGCCTGTGTTCACACTAGATAAATAATTATTTAATAATTTTAATTTAATTATGAGTAGATTGATTATTAATAATAATTATAATTACAACCACATCAATTAATTAATTGTTGTGTCTGTTTTAGTCCCCGACCCAATATATTACCTTATTTTCCCAACTCGTCTTCTCTGGCGTCTAAAGACAGTGGCACGCTGCACAGGGGAGAGGCAGAGAGCAGAGGCATCGGAGATGAACCCCAATTCCAGTACGATCATAATCCACCTCTTACCTTACTTTCCGATAACGATGGGGTGGCGACTACAGTCTACAGATGATCGGCAATGCACCTCCATACTCGACTGTAGAGGTTTCCCGATTGAACCCTAATTCCAATCCGAATGCAATCCACCTCCATACTCGGCTCCCAATTAACTATTATTGTTACCATCAAATTAATTTAATGCCTCCCAGTTCACTATTAATGAATATGCTCTGTGAAACCCAACTTCCATGTTCTTATTTCACTCTGTTTACTCGGAACAGAACCGTGGCCAAGCGGGATCCACACCAAGACTAGAATAGGAGGCAATCTCCATTACATTGTCAACATAGTTATTTCATTTATGTTTGTTCTTGAATCCTTTGACGCCCTCTCATCAAAATCTTTAGGCTCTGTAGTTCGAGGCAGAGGCAAAGGGTTGCGACTAGGAGAGGCTGAGGATCTTGTGGCAGAGGAGGATTGACGGAGGGAAGGTGCAGGCGAGGGAGAGCAGGATTATATTACGGGGAAAGTGGTGAAGAAAAACTCCGGTTGCCAGAGAGATAGGGGAAAGGGCACCGATCGCTCGACAGTGGTTTGTTTGGTTTAGGATTGGAACTAATAATTATGGTGGGACTTAAACGTACACAATATTTTTGTAAGGATCGGATTGTAATTATAATTATTTATTATAATTAATTTAATTATAAATAATTTAATTATATATAAAATTAATTTATTAATGTGAACGCAGGTGTATAGTGTACATCTGGCGTACGCTAGCCTGAACCATATATATATATTACAACTATTAACCCTAGTCGGGACCTAAGAGGAAAAGGATAATTCGACAAAGTTTGTTAAGATAAGATGCCTTCATTATCCTACGCAATTTACAATTGGGCTGAACTATATCACATAACTCAATAGCCTCCCCGATATTGACGGAGGAATCTATAATATATGAAGAACACCAACTAACTTTCGAACGTAAGAGACATGTACCTCAAAATTTTGACATGATCATGAATAACCGGATTTGTCACGGATGGCACTGGTATAATCAACATAGAGTTGCATATGAACCTTACACCAAGATCCCCCAACAAATGTTGTAACCAATCAGGTTCAAATGTAACATCAGACATGGCCGAATATTCGACTTCAAGGGAGGATTTAGAAACACAGTCCTACTTCTTGCACAACCAAGAAAAAAATGATCCTACTAGACGAATACACCAACTACTAGTTGAACGACGAGTATGGATACATCCTGCATAATCAAAATCGGAAAAAATAATGTCGAGTCAAGGAACCTATCGAAGGTAAGAACAAGTCAATCGTATAAGTTTCCTGTAAATATTGTAGAATCCGACGATCAACAATTCACCATCAAGATGAATCATCGTAGGAGCTGGCATTAATTGGTTCACAACTTGTATTACATAAGCAATAGTAGGACGCGTTGAGACCAAATATATCAAACTCCCAAGCAGATTCAAAAAAGTTATCAATATACTTCGTATGACTAAGAAAAATACCATGAGAAGACCGAATTACCT